GTAAGATGATTTTTTAAACTCACTTTTTAGCACAATTATATTAAAAAGTATGACTTTTTAATCAAAGTACATTAATGAATTTTGCTTTGGGCTCTCTTAAGGGTTTCATTGAACACCAATATGGAACCTTCCTTTCTATGTTAGCCAAAGGCAGTGGTTTAAAATTATTCAGTAAAGGGTTTGTGTTCTACAGGGAATTTGATTGCCCTTTTCTATTATAATCAGGTCAACTTTTGAAAGCATTAAAGCCTAAATAGCTTCTCAGCTTCTTCCCCCAGGTTTTTCGTTGTTACATACTTAGATACTTAGTTATTTTCACTGTTTGATTTTTTTTTTTCCCTTTGTTTCTCTGAACTACAAATCTGTCTTTATGAGTATCAGTGTTCTGTCTATCCTTTCCTTTCATTGGACTAGGGGGAAAAATGGGATATGTTGGAAAGGGTATATACAAACCTATAAATATTTTGGTTAGGTGAGATTTGGACGGTTAAGGAACTCTTGAGTTTCTGTAGCTGTGGCAAGGGATTTGTTTAATTTCTAAACTTCTATTTCCTGGACTTGAGAATCTTAAGAATGTGTTTCTGTTTCATCAAAATATCTGTGAGCTGGGTATTAATTGTTGATATAAGAGAGAATGATCGAAAGCCACATCAATCAAACACTGAAATAGTTATCTTAAATGAGAGTTTCAAAGGTCATTTAAAATAATTTCCTAAAAGGCATATACACAGTTAGTTCCTTTGAAGAAAAATGCACTAAAAATGTACACATGTATATCCAGCATTGATGAATACTTTAAAGATTATTCAAGAAAAACGAATAAAAAAATGTACTGACTTGGTTTGATACATAAGGATGGATTTAGTATTTCTACTCTCAAGGTCTGTAATTGGAAATATCAGGAAAGTTATATTAGGTTATAAGTAAGAAATGTCTGATTTCCTTAAGTATCGAGTTTGACAGGTGATATCTCTGACATTTTAGTTTGACATATCTTAAATTTCTCTTTATTTTGAAGGTACATTCTCATTCTTTTAAATGTACATTTTGGCTTATAATTATCTTCTGAAAGTTTTATTAGAGAAATTCTTGTGAGACCATGAATAAGTAAAAAATTTGTGTTATTTTTGAATATGAGTTCCATCATGGAACCAGTGAAGCACAGACAGCTCAAAATATACACGAAGTATTTGGGAAGGATGTGTCTAATGAACGCATAACATCAATGGTTTGAGGAGTTTCATTCCAGTGATTTTAATCTTGAAAATGAGCTCCATGGATGTCTTGAGACCAAGGTCAATAATGATCAGCTGAGAACTCTAGCGGAAGCAAATCCATCTTTACTTACACATAAATTAGCAACAGGTTTGATGTTACTATTCAGACTATATTGGACATTTTGAAACAAATTGGCAAGTTAAAGAAGCTGGATAAATGAGCATGAAGTAATGAGCATCAGAAGAGAAATGGTCTTGAAGCTTGCCTTTCTTTGCTCTCATGATGTCCATTTCTGCCCTGCATTGTTTCCTGTGATGAAAAATGATTTCTTTTTGACAATTGTATAGCACAGTGGTTGAATGAAGATGAAGTACTAAAACACAGCCCCAAATGAAATATTTATCAAAGAAAAAAGAAAAGAAAAGAAAAGAAAA